AAAATTTATTTCAAAGTTGTAATAACTGCGCCTAATTGAAGAATCAGAATATGCAGTTAAATAAAATCCAGCAGCCAAGACATGCTTGTTTTGTCAGTATGAAGTGACACCACAAAATAAAAATACTTTTACAAATGTTTAAGTATAGATCCTTGAGAGATTTTAGTGTATCTGAAGGAGGGGAAGATACATCTTGAGAGGACAGTTTACCGTGTTAGGATGTCCTATTTGAGTAGCCTTCTGCTTTAAAATTTGCCCACGCTAACAATCAAAATACAGCAGTCTTCATCAAGTCAATGGCTATGCACTGGTCACAGGTGTTTGAAATGAAAAGAAAAAAGCATAACTGTTACGAAGTGTATTGATTTTTCTGTGCAAGGGTGTAGTGGAAAACGTATAGGTGTGTAAATCACAAAAAATAGATCATTGCCCTGCTGATTTTGCAGACAAACTTAAGTTATACCTCTCAGAGGTGAGGTTTGTAATGGCATATATGACACAAATGATGCAAAGCTGATAAGTCCTGGTGGAATATTTGGCTTTTGCAAAGGTGCAGAACAGACAGTGGTAATTGACTTCTCTTTCACTGTATTGAATGAAGTCTATCTCTATGGTAAGTAAGTTCCTTTGGGGCAAGTTATCATCTCTTAGAAGATTTTTACTGCTGGAATTTCTGTTGACCGATGATTTCTGCTTCTTAGCAGAGACAACCATGAGGCTTGCGGCTGCCTTTTTAAAGTGGTTTGTAATTTTCTTGTTTTGTCAAAAAGCAGTGTAAGAGTTCTGGTTTCTCTAAAGTTTCAAGGTGAAATTTCCTACAATATTGTGTTGGCTGTTGAAGCCACAAAAAGGCAGAACTTGTATTTGAAAGGGCAGAATTTAGCATGTTATAGGTGCAAATAAAAGTCAGTTTCTTAAGGTCAAGTTGAGCCACTTTGAAAGTCTGTCACTAGGTCCCTCATTTAGGGCTTTTGCGTTAAACATCTTCCAGAGTGTGGAAGGCACGCTGTTTTTTCAGGTCTCAGTGGTAAATACACCTGGAAAGCACAGCTGCCCAGAAATGGTGCACTGCCTGTTCAGAAACCAGTTTTGAATATTCAGCAAGAATTTTTTTCTTTGCTGCTTTGATATAAATCTATTTCTTTCAGCAATGAGCAAGTCCGAACAATTGCAGCAGAGAATTTGATATTTCCAGGCTTGAATTTATTTCCAACAAAGTATAGAAGTTTTGGGCTGCCCTTGTCTGTTTTATAATTTTGTGTCACAGATAACTGGTATTTTATATTTGAAACGTGAGTTTTCTGTAACCATCTGTTGCTGATTCTGTCAGATGGGGCTTCCAGAACTGTGTATTTAACTCTACTGTCTGCATTACTGGGCAAGGATCAGCCTTTGCTCAGTTTTAGTTTTCAGAAGTGCTAGCAGGTGCTTAGTAGTTCTGTAGCATCAAAACCCAAGCAAGACTTCAGAATGCTCAGTAATATCTCTTCCTGGCCATAAATCCAAGTAGGAAAGTAAAAAAGGTGAGATTATTTGCCTGCTCTTCAAGCAAAAGCTTCCAGATCTAAGTTAACAGTTTCTCAAGTATTTGTTAAAATGAATGCTAGGGAAAAACCTTTCAAAAAGAGTGTTTTATAATAGTGTATATACTGCATTTGTTCCCATCTTTTGTGCTACTCAATAAAACCAGGTTTTAATCTTTCACATGAAGCCTGTAAAAACAGGATCTGATCAATGTGTTCTGGAAACTGCCCAAAAATCTAGTGTCAACAACTTAATTTTGGGAAGTAACCCCTGTTCTAAAGGTATAAAAGCTTGATTGGTGCAAGTTTCAGCATTACATAAAAGTGAAGCATGAAGGGGAGTATGACTGTAAGAAATTTCAAGGCTGAAGTGGGAACTTAAGTGCGTACATAGAGTGCCTCAGTTACCACCACCCAGGGAAAACTAGTCTAACTCAACATGATATCATAGGGTTAGATCTCAGGCCTTACAGTGTCCTTGCTTGGAGAAGGTTCACTTGTGTGTGAAGGACAATATCCTTGCAGGGTTCCTCCTGCTGTTGCACAGTCATAGCCATTCTGCCAGCACTAAAGGACCTTCTGAGGACAAAACAACAGTCCTTTTCATTTGTAAAGAGCTTTTTCTTTGCTTAGTGGAAAGTTTGTGCTTGACAGAAATAATGACTTGGGACTTATACACACGCATCAAATCAGGAATAATAGACTGGTTCTCATTAGCCAGCTCAAACAGCACACAGAAGTGTGTCTGCTTCTAGACATACCCTAGGTGTTTTATGTTGCACTCAATGGAATAATAAGTGTAAATAGTATCAGAATACACTTACAACTGCCCACCCTACTCCATCTTTCACATTTCATGCAGTCAGTGGAGAGAAATGGATATGAGCTAACTTCCATCTGTTTACTAGCTCACCAGATCATATGGTGAGGGCCTACATGTGGTCCTGATGGGGTAGTGTTCCTCCAAGAACAAGGCAGATTCCTGGGGCATGTATAATTCCATGGTGTATTCTCCCAGAATCTCCATTATGCTCCTACAAACCTGGAGGCACAGGCTTGTGTGACTGAGGGATTCCACTGCCTAACTTACCTAGACAGACTGTAACAACCACACTAAGGGTGCAGTTGGTCCTGCATATAGCACCTTGCTAGAACTCCCATCTGCTCTGTTCATACAGTTACTATAACCGTAGACATTAAAAATTCCACTTCTGTAGGACTGGTAAAATTGGTCTGAATGTCCTGGACAGATGCCAGGCTCCTCCAGCAAAGGGTTAATGTTGTCTAATTGCTCATGACGCAAGTCCTAAGTTCACAGATCTCCACTCAATACTTCCTTATGGGAGAAGGGGGCAAGTCATGAGCATTCAGTCAATGCACTGACCTTGCACTTAGTTCAGCACAAGTGGCTGATATTTTTTCAACACTCCGTGATCTCTGTCTATGTAGTTTTTGTTTACATTGCTTCCTTCTGGTCTTCTGTTTTTGTCCTTAGGTTTAGGTGGTAGCTCACCATCTTATTCCCCACCAGGGTAGCCTTCCCTAGACCAGAAGATCAAGGTACACCTTTATTTGGTGCTGGCTGAGAGACATCCCTGCATCCCTGGGACAGTGTCTCTGGCATCATAACAGAGTCTTTAGTCTTTCAAGTGGCTTTTTATGCTCATTCCAACAGATGCAGTTGGCAGTCATAGCATACTGCAGACGAAATTGTGCAAGCATCTTGCAGAAGCTGTTTTACAGCGTAGTGCTCTGAAGATGTTCCCTCAGTATCGACCTTGTGACACATACCTTTTGAAAGTCTCAGGAGCAGGGGCTGTTCTGCTTGCATGATTAGTTGGTAATCATGGCTGCTAAAAGTTTGTATTGCTGACAACTTCAGGGTTCAGCAGTTTCATTTATAAGAAACATTCAGAGTGAATGTGATTTTACTAATTGCAGTGGGACACATGCCAAAAATGCTGACTTGGGTTACCTTTTTTCTACATGGAGTTGTCTAGATACTATTATTTTGGTTCGCTCCATGAAATTCATGGCCATAAGACATGGTTCTATATCTTTCAGTTCTGTACCTCTCAGTCAACTGCAGGCTGAATTATGCAGGCAGTGGGGAGTAAATCACTGCTGGAACCAGTAACTGCTCATTTAAAGCAATATCCCAGTGTCACTGAAAGGAAAATATGCTTTACTCCATTTGCGATTCAGGGGCTAGTTAGAAATTCTCTACACAGACTTTTGCGTCTTCAGCCAGAAATAACCATAAGATATTACCAGGCAGCAAGGGTCACTATCAACCTCACCTGGGTTTTTGTTCGGGAGGATTCCTTAGCTTCAGTATTTAAATGGAATAGGTGCGAGAGGTATGTCATACACACCAGGGCACCGCAGGCACCTATGAGCCTGCCTTCGTTGCTTTATGCACCTGCATACCCCTTGCCCATGGTCCACAAGCCCTCTTCAGCTCAGCCCATACCCCTGCACGCTTGGGAGCCTTTCGCTGCAGGTAGCTCTGCTCCTGAGACCCTCTGCACAGCTGTTTCTGCCCAGAGCCACCTTGCAGGCAGGGCTGTGCCTTGCTGCACTCACTGCCTAATGGACTCCCCCAGTGAACCCCAGACCTGCCCCATCACTGTCTGACAATCAGCACTGTCAGAGACCTGTCCCTGTGACCTCCCCTACCCTGTTCCCCCTGCTTAGTGCTGGAGAAGGACACTGCCCCCACTGTGCTGGGGTCACCTTGGCCACCATCTGACCTCTCCTCCGTTGAGTGTCCCCACTCCTCCTGCTCCCCAACAGGACAGCAGGTAACAAAAAGCAATTCCACAAGTGAGGTTTTTTTAAAAACATTTATTGAGAAATGCCACGGTATTCCCTTGAAAATTCAGCTATCAGTGTACTGCATTGCACACAGTTTACAGAATCCCCAAGATTTTCATGTGTTTTTCAGGACAAACACACTACTCAATACTATGATTTTCTTTTCTTATCAGCCGAGTGGCAACTTCAAGACCAAGAGGTCTGGTTCCTGTGCTTAAGGGTACTTTAGCAGGCCCCTGGAAAGAAAGAAAGAAAAGTAAACTTTAGTTCTTGCAAGTAAATTTTCAAAGTGCTTTAACAGCTTTTGCATCTTCAGTGGAGCTGTAGCCACATCCTCCCTAGGGTACTTCTGAATCAAGATTAGGATGGGGTGCGAAAGACGCTGTCTGCATTGCTCTGTGTGTTTTAGTGAAGCACTTCAGCAACCTTTGCTAGTCCCAGCCACCCATGAGTTTTCAGGCACTTCAGCTTGAGCCCACAAGCCAGCTACCCTTCCTCTGCTACAGTGAACAATACAGAGGGGCATGGGGCAAGGATGCTCATGCCAGTCTTATAACCTCAGGTGATGACAGGACCTGCTCTGAGATGGAGGGCTGGCTCACATAATGATGTAAAGTTCAGAATGTTTTAGCTGTTATTTCTTTTATAAGTCCAGCAGTGCAGGACATGTGTTACTGCAGCAGCCCCCCACACCAACCCCCAGGTCCTCAGGCCTGTCTTAGTAAAGGGCTAATCTCCAGGCAAAGCTGTGGGCATGTGCAGGGTATGGGCAATTAGCTACCAACAAAGAGGAATTTATACTTCCAGCATAGCCTTAAAGCATTATCTGCCTGTCTCATGGGCAGCATATGAGCTAGAAGATCAGCTCTCATGCTCCAGAAAAAGGTTCTTTCAAAATGGGCTTCAGACATGCTCTGTTTACATGTATGTGGCACAACTGCTGACTACTACTGCCATCAGACACATAATGGCTGCTCAGAGCCCCTCATCTCTGCTGCTCAGACTGGCCAGGACACAAATCTTGCTGGAGCTAAGCAGAGGGAGGGTGCTCATTCCTGAAGGCAGCTTCTCCTCCTTCCCTAGAGGACAGTGCACAGACCTAAGATAAGCTGCTGTTAACCAGGTGGCCAAGAAAAAAAATCTCCAAGTGCAGAAACACCAGGTTGTTCTACCCATCCCTATCCTATCAGAGTATCAAAGGTGGTCTTCCTTCTGGTAGCGTGTGTTTCGGCACACAGGATTCCTATGAGGGTAAACCTAAGGCTGCAGAACTGCCCTGTAACATGCTTTCTCCATTGCATGAACTTCCCCTTGTATCCATTTTCTGATTGGATATAACATGAAAAAAGCTTGCTGAAAGACGATAATGTAGTTTGCTACAGTTCTGTTGTGTTTGCTTGTGAGCCCAGAGTACCTGACTGAAGCACGGGCTGGAACTGGCCAGACATGCAGATTTCTTCCTGCTTCTGGCGCACGATGCGCTGGATGGCTGGGGGCAGGCCACGAGGGTTGCGTGAGAAGATCAGGGAGTAACCATCATCGCAGGAGCCATCCTCCTTCAGACTGCGGCAGGCATAGGTAATGGCATAGTTGTCATAGTCGGTGTCAATCACCCAGTAGTTGTCCCCTGAAACATCAGAACACACGTGTTGGTCACAGTGGCTAAGACAGAGCAGAGGCGGATGTGGTCATCCTGCAGAGAGACTCCTCACTTCAGCACAAGCCAGGGATAGCTTCTGAAAGTATCTAAAGTCACCTCCCGCATTCAGCTTATCTCCACACCATGAAGTGAAGAACTGGACAAACACAGGGCATCTTTGTTCCCCATGAAACTCAATGCATTTTCGCCTTTGGTTTCTGAGGCTGAAATTATTAGAAGGACTAGGACTTTCTAGGATTTCTGTAACAAGAAATTGCTTTATGCTTCTTGCTCAAGCATGGGGAGGCAGGGCATACACATTAAATTTTCACCATACAGATTGCATTTCCTACACAAGCAGCCTCAGCAAAACCTGCCTCCTGTTTTGCAGCCTTGCTCACCCAAGTGCAGTTTGGTGTGCCTTATCTGCCAATACTAGGTGAATGTATTTCTTTCTTATGCACTAGCATGCTGAATCCTGCCCAACCTCCACAGCTGGAGTGCCACAACTATGGAGACTAAGGCACAAAGTATGAGGTATGCAGAGTACATAACTGAGGTTCAGCAGTTTCTGCAAGGAGGACTTCATTTCACAGCTCCATTTTGTTCATTCCAGCTGTGTCTCCCTGAGAACTGAACCTTGCTGCTGGAGTGCAGATGTGGGTCTACATGTTGACTCCATTAGCTATGAGGAGTATAATGACAACTGCCCTACAGCATCTCAGCACTGTGGGGCTCAGAAAGTGCCAGGTTCATCACCCCACCCAGCTGCACAGAATCTGTGTGTGTGATCCGTTTCCTCTAAGCTGCGTCCTTCCTGTTAGTATATATGGTGTATAGGAGAGGCCTCTGTGGAGTCCCTGAGTCCTGCCCCTTCTGTGGAGATAAAAAGCACTTCTTGGGTAACGCATCTGTCCCAAAAGAATGTTTTGTCTCCACTTGGAGCAGTTTGCTCTCAACTATTTTTCCTGCTCCTGTACTGAACCACACAAACCCGGGCAGCTGTAAGCCACTGCCCGGTACTGGTGGGCTGGAGAAGTTCACTCACCACCGCTGGAGAGGTAGCTGGCCAGTCCCTGGTAGGTCATGTACATCTTTGCTGGAGTGGCTGGGTCAGGTACAGTATACTGAGCAGCCATGTCAGCACAGATCACCCAGAACCTGCAATGAGAACCATCAGACTGGAGGTAAAACCTTGTGGCATGTGAGCTTCTAGCAAGCGTCCCTCACTCTGGACTTGGGCAAGAACCAGGCTATGGTCCGTCACAACTGCTTCAGGCATGGGCATGGCCTTTCTTACTGCAGTCACTGTCACTAAGTAATGACATACCCCCATCACTGACAGTGCATTGCTGCCATATGGTCCCCTCCTCCGCTGTGCAAGCATGCTGTGGCTGGGGCAGTGCCCTGACCCCACTTCAGCTCAGCAGGCTTTTTACCACCCGTTTCTGTACAAGCAAACCACCACCAAGCAATACGATGGAGATAATTTCTTGGCTCCCTGCTAGCAGTTTGCAGCATGAGGTGACCTGCATTTGGGCTCATTTGGGCTCATTTGCTGTGTCCCCAGGTGGAGGTGGCAAGTCTTCTATCCTCTCTCTAATCCTTCTTAGCTCTATTGGCACAGGGATGTATGTTACAAGCACAGAAATAATTGCAGCCACTCTGCTGCCCAAGCTAGTTAAAAGTCTTCACACAGGCTATGGGAATCCTGTGCTTATCTTAACTGTCCATTTCTTCTAATGCCCTTCTCTGTATGGTTTGAATACCATCTGCACCTTAGCACCCTTTGTCAAGTGTTACATGGATTTGTGGAACAGTGGAAGGGTCTGCATTAACTTCCTTGCACAGGCCATGCTTCCCCTTTACCCTGATGCTGCATAAATAAATCCCTGGCAGCTTTGAGACCCCACTTGGTTTCTGAAGAGTTCTTTTGGGAGTCTTGCCACCCACAATGCGTGGCATGCCTGCAGATCTTCATTTGCCCCATTCCAAGACATCCTGAAGTGCTGTGCTTTTGAGACCTTCACAGACACTCTTCTGTGCTATTATCAGCAGTTAGACAGTTTTTGGTAGTTAATGCACAACAGCACTAGTGCCAGCCCACTGGAAGCCCCAGATTTTCTTTTCCATACCCAGAAATCTATTTAATCCTTTTACATGCTGTAATTCTTTACAGTAACCATGGCCAACATGCAAAACTCTTAAGCTTCCTTACATCTGTCTATTCAGGCGTCACAGTGGCATCCAAGTGTTAACCCTATGTTTTCCTCAGCAATCTATCCAACACTGTGTTGAAAGGTCTGTGAAAGTAGTGCCTACTTACACTCCTTTCTTTCCCCTGACCCTCTCAATGGAGTGAGAGGTGTCCTGCCTTTGCAGCCCCACAGGCTTTGCTAGCTCCTCTCGTTTGGTTGCAGTTCATTTAACTAACCACTCCATTGTTCAACTTTGTAATTGGCTTTATGCAATAGTTTTGTAATGGACCCAGACCAGAGGCAGGTTGAGAAGTAACCAGGACTCAGAAGTGTCTAACCTCTGGCCCCTAATACATTACCTTGTTTGTGTTTCCCTTTTTGATGAGTAAAGCCCAGAACTAGATGATCTTAAGGTCCTTTCCAACCCTAACTATTCTACGATTCTGTGATTCTATGTTCTGTACTCCAGGTAGATCACCATCCATGTCCCCCTCCTCTAGCACCTCATGGCAGCAACTGGAGCTGAAAGTCAAGAGAACTCACCCAAAAAGCTTGACTCGGCCTTTGGATGATGCTGTCATTGTGCCATCTTCCTCCACGGTGTATTCAGCAGAGATGTTGTCCTGAAGGAAAAGGCCTTCTGGATCCTTCTTGGCCAGGGCATACCATTTCCCTGCATACTAAAATGAAAGACTGTTAATATCTGGATTAATCACCATTTTTGTAACTACCCATTGCCTAGCCTATGGAGAAAGTCTGAGTTTGGGTGGGTATGCAGCACACAGGCCCTGCTATGCTGTCTAACGAACCCTTGCTTCTGTGCCAGGAGTGGGTCTAGGAGCTCTGCACTGCTGTGTGCATGTACTCATTGTTGCGTGAGATGTTCCCCATCAATAGGGACCTGACACGGAGAGCTTCTCCCATCTGGAGGTGCCTGCTTTGGAGTCAGGCTGGTTCTTCCCTCTTCCCATTCAGGCCCCTGCTTTTCCATGGAAGATGCACTCAACGATGTCAAACTACAGCCACAAAGACTTCAGCAAGCCAGCTGGAGACACTCTTGTGGCTGCTGGAGGCCACAGTCAATCTTTTCACCAGCTGATGGTGAAAAAACAGCAAAGCAGAAATCAACAATTCTGCGTTACGAAGAGGAAACAATGTGCTGGGGAGGATAGCAGCAGGGGAAATGAAATGAAATTAAGGGAAAGAAAACCCCTAGGAAAAACACGGGTCCCTGAAAATGCACAAGCAGCATCTAGTAAAATGAAAACGAGATTTAAACAGGTGACAGACAGGAAGGCTCTCAAAAGTTAACATCATCAGTAGAAATATTGAGGAAAGCAGAACTTAGCTGTGTTAAATTTGATTCCCCAGAGAAGCTAATGAAATATTTTCCCTGCAAGTTATGAGCTTAAGCTTGAAACAGAGTCCAAAATTCCCAAATACTGGAGCTTGAGAAACACTCTGACTTTTTAAAACCAGGCTGTTCCCAAAGCTGTCCTCAGAGATGGGCTTGTGTCCAGCAAAGCCAATCTTGCATGGAGAAAGTGCTGACCCCTTCCCAGCTGCAGCTGCAAGTGGTGTTCCCTGAGGGACTGTTAAATAGTTCTGGACCTTTCCAGCACTAAGCTAGCCCTGATTTCCTCCTCAGAGGCAGGCAGATTAAACGCTGTTTTTAAACAAGAGTCTGTCTGTGTTCAGGATACCCAGCTAGGTAAATCAGGAATGGATGGTGGTGGATGCAAGTCCCCTGGGCATGTGCTGGGGCTTTCTCTCTGGTCTAAATTGGTTCATTCATGGGACCGCTCAAAGACAAGATCTGCACCAAGCTTTGAACTAACAGCAGATGACATCTAACAGAATAGTGTTCCTGACTTTCAAGGCTGATTTTACCCTTATGCTCAGAAAGTTTAACAGCAGTAAGAGAAACAAACTACAGGAACTTTGAGAGACACACACAAAAGAAGTTAACTTCTTGGTGAGGAACCCCTTTAGATTAGCACCAACAACAACCTGGAAAAACAGTTAATATATGAAGCTTGTTTACATATATGGTTGAAGTGACCATACTTACCCTTTTTGGATCAAAATTGTCTTTCACAGCAAAAGACTCCACTGCACAGGTCTGAGCCAGGCTGTATTCAACAGTAGAAAAGATTGAGGCCAGGAAAACATACTGTGTGTATTTCATTCTGCAAGACAAAAGCAAACATGGGGTTTTATTTCATGCAATAGATGTAGCTAGCAGATGTAGAGTAGCTAGTGCTGTGCCTACAGATACAGATTCCCCTCATTTTAAAACTAGTTTTTTTCCATGCTGAGTAGACTACTAACTCATCCCATGAGAAGCTACTAGGGCATTGTGATGCCTAGATCCAGCCAAAATTGGACATCAGTGGCATATGCTTCATAAGGGTGTTTTGCTTGCCAGTAATAGCATTGTGGTTCGTTTTATTTTTACATTGCAGATCAAGCCAGACTCTAGATGAGGTTGGTAAGAATTGATAAAAATTTGATTTTTTTTAGGTTTTTGTTTTCACAAGAAGAGTGATGTTGCAATGAGCTCTGGTAAAGCCTGCGGGTTGAAAGGATGGTGAGCCTACACTTTGCTTTTAAGTTAGCAAAGCTGTATTCTTTATGACCAGTTCTCATCACTGAAACAGGCTCTTCATAGCTGCCTACCCTAATGGCAAAATACATCTTAGTATTGTTTGCCCTCAGACCGTTCCCTCTACACACGACATGATACTCAATTTCTAGAGGCTTGATCTGCCATTGCAGCACAGCCACAAGGTGGCCATGGCTTTTCTCAGGTATCCCAGCTCATCTGTATCCCAGCATATTTGTGTTTCTCACAGTTTGAGGAGAGAGCATGTGCATTATAGATTCTTGGAGAGTATTTGACCCTGAATATCTGTTCTGATGCCAAGATAAAACACAGTTACCTGAAACCTGCCTGCAGCATCCAAGGTGAGCTACCAATCCAGGACTTCCAAATACCCAAGCAGCTACTCAGTTATAGCTGCTGTCTTGCAGCCTGCACTTCCCTGCTGCAACAGATGCTAATCTGGCCCACCTCTGCTGAAGAGACCTACCTGTTGGAGTAGAGGTGCTCAAGATCCCTGAGACCACTCTGCTTTGTTCTTTGGGTTGCAGTCAGCAGGAGAGTTTTGTGTCAAATGCCCTCCAGCTGCCTTTAAATAATGAATCTGTAAAGTCACTAATTGGTTATTTTTGCTCGTGTGCCTGAATAAAACGCTTAATCTTGGATAATCCATTATGTAAAAACCAACTGTAATCCTCACACTGGTGGGTCTGACTGCCACCGTAATACAAATACAGCTTTTACATAATGGAAAAAGCTGTCCAGAAAGCTAATAAATCTGCTGATGTGATTGAAACACACCTTTGTCTCACTGAAGTCTTTCTGCTACTAACACGTGTTAGGAGAATAAGCACAGAGCATTAACCAGAGAAACTCATGGACTATACATATTCATCTGCATAGGCACGTGTTCATATTTGACAATTCGCATGGGGTACATATGTAATTAGCTCCTCCAGTATCTGCATTGTCAAATTAAGGTGATTCTTGAAAGAGTGGAAAGATGTTATACATTATCTACAGGGAGAGGTATGGGGGGGGGGTTGAAGATGAGAGAATAAAGATTTTGTCTTCATGTTCACATCAAAATCTTGGAATCCCCAGTTCTATGCACTGAAATACACATTCTTCCCAGTTCAGCCTGTCAACATTTCCAGTTGCATAAATACTGTAGCTCTCTTACTCACAATACGTTCTTCCTAGAAGCCTTCCATGGGGATGCAATAAAGCACAAAAAGACAGGAAGGCAGAAATGGCTGGAAAAACATTTTTCCTAGCAAACCATGCCTGCCATTCTTAGCATTTCCCCAGGTGCCCAAGGAATTACCCGGACTGCAAAGGCTGCTCATGTAGTCTTTCTACCCAGGCTCACCTGAGAGATTTGAGACTTCAGACTCTCATCTAGCAGTTGCCAGCACTAGCAGTTACTTCTCCCATGAGGCTCCTGGGTGTTGGGGAGCCTGGGGCATACCCACTAGGCATGATCCTGTAGCTCCTATGGAGTAAGCCCAGGGAGTCCTGAACCTCCTGGTACTAATCCGGGCATTCAGAGTAAGGCTAAAGCCTTCTGGATGTGTTGGACTTGCTGCAGAGATCACTTAAAACCACTTGCCCAGGAATTCCTGACCAGAAGCATACAACCTTGCCCCATAACTAGTGTGAACTGGGTTGCTTTCCAGGCAACTTGTTTACTGTTGCCCATTACTGTGGAAAGAAAGTCCTTGCTTGCTGCCAGAGGAAACTTTGGTTTGGCCTGTGTACAGCTTCTACTTACACTTCAGATGAAGCAATGACACTTTGCAGGCACAAGTCTAGCAGACAGACTGAGCATACCCTGTTCATGCCATCTGCATGGCTTCAAAGGCAACCTGGGCAACTTCACAGGGGAGTGACCTGCTGGTAACTGGGGTGGGAAGGTGACAGCACCCATCCCAGGCTGGGGAAGACCAGGAGCAAGTGCCACAGCGTGCCCCATTCTGCCTGATGGAGTGGCTGTGTGTGGTCTCTGTCACCTTCCCAACCATTGTGGGGCCACACCACCACACCCTGTGCTCTTGGCCTTTTATAAGTGGCTTGCTTTGGGGCAGGTGGAGCACTTTTGGACTGGCCAGTGTCATACACAAAGATCGTTCTTCCCCTGGGCATTTTGGCTGGGTTTATCCAGGAACACCAAGACCTGGAGGTTTGGGGGGAGGTACCGGCTGCTTTGTGTCCTGGGCAATGTGGATCTACCTTGTGCTGCCTGGACCCCTTGGCCTGATTTTCTGGAAGGATGCCAAACAGCCTTTTGCCAGACTAATCCTTGAGCTACAGCTGTCTGCTCACCATATGGACTGTGCTCCAGTGGGGAGCAGCGTCCCTGAAAGAACTGAGCACGGCTCATGGCCTCCTGCACTGAGTGGAGAGTTCCTCCAGCTCTGTCAATTTGAGCACTGCATGATGCCTATGGCTTTGAGCACACACTGTACAGCCTACTTTCAGCTCCCCTGGCACTCACTCCTTACAGTTGTGTCTTCATCACCAGCAGCATTTACTTCATCTAGAGGTGAAAGGAAAATAACAGAAAGCCGAGTTAATTTCTTTGCAGTACTTGGCCACTCAAATTATGACATAAAACGTGAATTCTTAAACGGACTTTTGCATGCCCTCTATATTTTCAGAGAACTTCCTGCTGACACTGAATCTGGGTGCAGAAGTGTGCTTCTCCAGAGTGGCTCAGGGATTTGAGAGAGAAAGAAATTCACTCTTTTCTGTGAATTTGAAGGGCTTCAAAACACTCATTGCTTTGTCTGTTTCCAACAAAACAGATTAGTTTATGTCCGTGTGAGACATAGGTGACACTTGAAGCCATGCTTAGGTGACTATTTAATCCCCTGGGGATTAGAGGCATGCTAATAATAGCTAATCACAGCACAAGATTTTGGTTGGTGACCATAACATCTGTCACTGCACTGTGTGCTGTTTGGAATAACAAAAAAGCAGTAAAACTAATCTTCATTTTCACAGTATTATGGTAGTTTGTACTGCATGTAGAAAAAGAAAGGGAGGTGTAAAAGCACTGAAGGATATTCCTTGGCCTGTTACATTTGGTGTATCATGAAACAGACCATATAAAAACAAAGGTACACTGCAGGATCCACTTGTCCAAGGGCCTGTTCCAGACCTGCTTATCAGAATGGAATGTTTTTTAATAGAAGATTTGTCCTGACCAAATAAAGCACGTATTCAGTGTACTGGACTCAGCACCAAAGTAACTGGTAGTTTCAGTGGCCTGCAATAAACCAGGTATGCAGACGAGACAATCTTATCACCTGCCCTAATATATGAAATTCAGCAGCAGCAATTTGGGGTTTCCTACCCCTAGTAGCCCTCCTCCTCCTGCCTTATTATTGGAATAAGCACGGGTAAACTGCTCTGGGAATTACTGCAATTGCACTGCTGGCAGCTCAGCTGTGCTAGCTCAGCAGCTGATGGCACAGTATCAGGACTCTAAATAGCCTGCTGCACTTGGCATTAAGTTCCCTGCTGTCCAGTAGGCACTCAAGTTGTGGGCTTGTTTACCAGGGTGCTGGAGAACAGCTACATGTAGATGCATTTTGAGTCGGCTTTGGCATCTCTTGTAGAGGTTATTGCACTGGAAGTTGGGAGGATTTCCTGCTCCAGCTTTAGGTCTAACTTGTGAGGCTGAGGTTGCAGGGCTTCCTTCTGGGGTGTCACACACATGTGCCTGTGTTGCTGGAGGACCCATCTCCCAGTCCCATGTCCCAGGGACGGAGAGGATAGTGATAGTCTGTTCTACATCCTTACCAGGGCAGGAGGCAGGAGAAATAAGGTTTTCCCAATAAGACTTGCACACCACTCTAAAGTCATTGACTAAGAGGTTCTGGGTTTCTGTGACTTCTGCTCAGAAATGCTGATCTTTCCCAGCGAAGGGAGTGACTCAATCCAGATGAAGAGGAAATCATTTGAAGTTTGTTCCTTTGTGGTTCAAGGGTAAGGTTCTTGGGTGTGCTACGTCATTAGATAAAAAACATCATAAATCACTGCCTTATTACTTTCAAGGTGCCATTCAAATACCTCACAGCTTTAAATAACAAAAACTGAAAGTCACCTTTCCCATCTGAAGTGTGATAGTGTCTTTCTTGCTCAACGTTTAGACTGACAATTGGTACAGCAAGGGCTCCAATGCGTGCACACAACACATCTCAGACAGGCACACATGTTCTCCCCCCCAGTTCACAAGTGAAAATGTGAGGCTGCTCAAAGCATGGAAGAGTCAAGGAGCCTCAGGGCCTCTGCTGTTACAGGTAGCCAGCACAGGGAGAAATGATTTTCTCAGGGCCATTGACAAGAGCCTGGCAGCAAAAAAATGTCCTAATCTCTCTCCCATTCAGCACAGGCTGAACACAAAGCTGACTAAACTCTCTTCTGATGTGGGATTTTAGCATACTGGGATCCATCAGCCAAAAACAAAGATGGTCTTTTGTGCCATCTCCTGTTTTCTGCACAACTGTGTGGACAATGGTTGCAGAATGATCAGTGAGCTGCTGGATATCCCTCTCCAAGCCATGACAGTTTCCCTAATGG